TTATTTATATGAATATAATATTCCCTTAATATCAAAATAGACACTTTATGCAAAATACAATTTTTTTATTCAGATTAATTGTACTATGAATCGTTGAAATATTATGTTACTCTCACAGTTATGCATGCATCTATTAAAACATGTTTTTACATAGAAATCCGAGCTCTAATCATGATCTAAATAACGTTATAATTTTAATTCAAAACAATTTTTTAAAAGTCAACACAATTTTTTGATTTTAAACTTCAACGACATTTTTAACCATGCCTACAGAGAATTTCCTCTCACTGTAGTCAGTCCTCAGCCTGTAAATGGGAAAGAAAATGTTGTTGAATGGGAGCCTATTCGTCCATATCACTTTATATAATATATTATACACTAAGTCTCTTGGTGAAAACCGCGCATACGTCATATTTCCTTTCATGACGCTGTAGAGCATGGGATGCTAACCGGTCGATGGCGATCGACTGGTCGATATTTAGAGAAATAGTGGTCGATCTAATCAAAAATTAATTTACCAATATCTGTTGACCACGTTCGTAATCTTATTAAGGGGTATGCATACCGACCGTTTCTAAGGAGTTCGGTATAGGCAATTTTCTAATGGTGTGCATGTGGGTCGTGTAAATGTGTGCGTAGTAAGTGATTATTAGTGTGGGTGACTGTGTATAAAATAAATAGTGGAGCACACCCGCACGTGCACGCACATGTCATTAGCGGAACATTTTACACTCTAATTACAAATGTGAATTTTAGTGAAACACTGAAACTTAGTTTCGTATTTCCAATATAGCTTACTGAGTGACATTACAGTATGAACACCTATTATACAAATTGAAGAGAAGGAGGGAGTTTATCTAGGCTTGTATAGGAGTCGATTTTCGATATTTTATTTTCAATGTCCAATATTTAACTCTAAAACTTATGATATTTTACTTTTTGAATTTGAATTATTGAGTTTAGTAATTACAAATATTAAAATTTGACTTCTATACAGGCACAGATTAACTTCTCTTCTACAATATTGATAATAGGTGTTTTTACTCTCAAACCACTTAATAAACCATATTATTGGAAATACAAAAGTACATTTTTATAGATTTTTTCAATGCTATTCATACCCCTTAACTATTAAGTTTAACACTCAAACAACATACATTTATGCTATATATATATGACTATAGGACTTCTGGAGAGGTACGTGGACAATTTAGAATTATCGATAAAATTGTATCAAATGTCAAGATTTTTTTAAAAAAAAAAAAAGGGAATCACTTATTCAAGTTACATGCCTCGAATATCTTCTTACTATCAGAGACAACTATCACACGGTGGGGCACGTGGCTAAATACTAACATTTATTATTTCTGCTAATATTACGAACAAATTTGAGAAATTGTGAAAATGTTAGACTCAGAAGACGCTTTGTGTATAATACTAGAAAAAAAAGTGATGCCTTTGAGATATATTTTGAGATATTCTAGAAAAAGTCCAGTTACGAATAGCTCAGGGTAACGATTAGCAAAATATGTATGTAGGTAATTTGAAACGGAGAAAACATATAGGATTACACATATACTAAAATCAGATATCAAATGATGTCTGTAGATCTTACCTCAAATTATCTAAGTGTTTGCTCCATTAATATCAGTTGATGTGAAGTGATACTTCTTTATTTACCAAAAATATCTTGACTGACAATCGAAGATCATTTAAACGCGAGAGCATAAGGAATAACAGTTCCTAATTACTTCAATAGAACTAGGGTAAAAAATAAAAGACCTATATTTATTAATTGTTTAAATATTAATTGATCCTAATTTTTTAGTAGGAACTCAAGAAGATTAAAATAATGATTGGTGAAGACTGAAGGTATACGAACACATCAATACGCAAGAGTGCGAAGTATTTATTTTTAAATTTTTGTTTCTCGTGTAATAAAAAATTTTACTGCATATTATGTTTTTTTTAACGCATATGTATGCACATATTTGAGTACATTTTATCGCAAAAAGTTGACTTATCAGACAATAATGATATAATTTTAAGCTTACAAAAATAAAATAAAATATTATGTAATGGCGTAACGCTACAACCATAACATCATAAATAACGCGTAATACATTAATAGGTTTTCTCTTACAATTAATAGACCCAACTCAAAAAAGTTAAATAGTCATATACCTAACCAATTTTGTTATTAGACCAAGGAACTTAGTGAAATTCGTATAGGGTATACATATTTGATTTAGTATATTATGAATCTGGATCTGTCCCATTTAGAGCAAACGCGTGCTTATTTTCACTTAAGAAAACTTCAAATATTTCAAAACGAGATCTTAAGAACGATAACAAATGCTCCATATGGTTTTTAAAAAACCATAATATTCACAAAGACCTTAAAGCTCTATGTCTCCAAAACCACATCATAAATTTGGCCGATAGCTTTTTCAAGTCTATTTAGAAGTCAGCAGGATCAAATATCAATGCACTACCAACTCAACATAGGACCACCAATCTTATGCCACCTTAGACGGCCCTCACGACTGAATTGTTTAAAGCTTAGCATTAAGCCACCACAATACATTTGTCAAAAGTTTGCCATGTATTAATTATTATTATCATGTTAAAAAAATAGCCACAAAAAAAAAATTACTAAAACTATTCTGTAAATACTAAATATCCGTAGACGTAGATAGCCGTGTAGACTATATGGGAATGTCTATTTACTTAACAAATAAAAAAAAAATCAATCCGAGTCAATTGCTGCAAATACCAAGTATGTAAAGAATAAAATCCTTAATTTTAGTTTTCATAGCAATTATAATTTCTACCTGGGTACCTACTGTATAAATATAATTGTTATATTTGAGTTGGGTCGTTCTTCTTCTGTATGTGCGATTTATCATTCATCAGTGGCGGACTGAACTTAAATTTTAAATGACTCATTTTCATAACTAAGTACTTACCATCACCACCACCACCACCATCCTATTTTTAATTATAACAAAGTCATGATGTAAATAAAATGTGATCAAAAAAGCCAAGAGGTCAGACTTAAGCATGTAATTTTGCGCCACGGTCACGGGTGGCACCACCCCCCTTGAAAATTTGAAGCAACTGAGTCAAAATTGAGCTCTTCGGCTCGCCACTGTCATTGGTCATTGCATAATATACCTACTATTATATGATTATTGTGATAGTAAAATATTTTTATTTAAGTCACATTATAATAATATTATGCATATTAGCTAGGAAGGTTAGGTTGTACACTCGAAGGACGCGGAGTTTAGGACGATATGCATATACATTATATAACATGATATTTTTGTAAAGCCAGACACGTCCTGTTATTATCAATTTGTCAATGTCAGATATGTTACGAGAGGGTATCATAGTGATAATAATATTATATTATTATATTAATATTTCTCGGATGCAGTTACGGCGGTGTTAATTTAGATGTATTAGATATGGATTTTCTATTATGTATTTTGCTAGCCAACGCCCGCAACAGCTGCTTTTTGCGGGACCCCACAAACAATAATTGGGGGAAAAAAATGGAAACAAGAATATAACCCTCTTTCCAAATTTATGGATTTACGTAGACCGCACAATACTTGTTCTTAATCGTGATTTAATAAGCGCTGTGCGGCGTCCACCGTCATATATGATATTATGCCCCCCAGAATGCGCACATGAAAAATCACTGTTTTTTAGTATGTTTTTTTTTTATTATATATAATATTCGAAAATACATAGACTTTTGATACGACTCAACAAATTTGTAATAATAATAATAATAATATTGTATATACTATTTAATAATAATTAATCACATAATATAATAATATATTTAGGCGTACGTTATTTTTTCAATCTATATAATATGTAATATGTATATATTATAACGATATAATGACGTATCATTTTTTGATTGAAGCTCATCGTCTCGGTGTTCATCTATTGATATTATACGTTTTTTGTTTTCTAAAACTACACAACAACGAATATATTGTAATATTCAAAAATATTAAGTTTCATCCACTTCTCGTTTGGTTCAAAATGTGTTTGCTACCCACCTAGTTGATTGTATAGGTATAGGTGTCATAAACGCGTTTACACTGAGGTTGTCCGTAGATTATTTAAAATTTTAAATCGGGGAGAGAGAAAAAATAACCAGGTGTTTTATTTCATTGCTTACATTATAATTGAAACTATTATTAAACTGTCGCGAAGAAAAATATGTATAGATAATATAGATAGTACTTAAATTTATAGGTACTCTATTGGTATATAATCACTTTAGAATTTTTAACTGTTAAAAAAATATTATTATTTCTAGGAATTCAAGTGAGCACTTACGATTTTCGGATTTTATGATGTTGAAACTTATCACGCCTGACTTGGTGGATGCGTATTTATGATGAGTGATGTCTACACAAACAACGAGGAAGTCTTTATATTAATTTTGACTACTCCGAGAAAATTTGTACGTACATTTTTATTTAACAGAGTGTATCTTAACTTTCAGCGCTTCACTGTCTCATACGTATTATAGTAGTATTTAATTTTGTTCCTATATTATACGATTATATTAAATTGTATATTTTTTTATATGTAAGACACATGACAACACCTATCGATATTTGTCCAAATACATTCTGTGCCGTACGAAGTGGGCAAAATTCATAAAAACTTTATTTTTATTCTTAACGAAACGCTCTTAAGTCTTAACTAATCTCTAGCTATCCTTAGCAGTTGTTGTCGAGCTATCCGATTCAATTTTTTTGTCAGATTCTAATGTTATAGATTCGATTTCTTTAAATAGTTCTTCGGGTCGTTCAATATCCTTCACGTCAATAGTTTCGTTGTACGAATCCAAACGACGACTTATTAGATCGTGGATCATACCTAAGAACAAATAATAATAATTTTTATTAAGCTTGTCAGAAATAATGTTTTAAGAAATTCACACAATTTTTGTTTTATTACAAGTCTAGAAAACGTTTATCATAAATGTGCAATAGTCGACGGTTCTAAATTCAACAATAGTGATATATTGTATTATCCTATAGGTATAGGACTTAGGACAACGATTAGACGTTAGTGTTATTTTTAAATTATTTTATTTTTATATTTTATATTACAAGTCCATCTATACTCTGAAATGTTGTTTTTATCAATATATAATAATATGTGAGTCTTTGTGTGTTATACTAAAAACATATTAATAGCCATAGGTACCTAAATTAATTGGTGTACAATTTAAAAACTGTTCAAACAACTTTCAGTTTATTATACTTTTTCTTTTTCTATATTAAAAAGTCGACCAGGGGTTTATGGTTTGCGAACTTTGTGATGTCAATTGTTGGGGGGTTGAGTTAAAATCGTTAACAGCTGCTGTGTGCCTGTGCCGAATTATTTAGTATAGCAGTAATAATAATTGTTTAAACTTACAAGACTTCATATAAGTCATTATAATTTATAATACTTTGTAACCCCAAAAAATTGCACAACATTCACGTTTTTATCGAGCATAATATAGTTTTAAACAACCAACCAAATCAAGAATGACGTGATGTAACTACGCGCGCATTGTTTCAGCTTATTTTTAACCCGTTTATAACAATGTTTTTACGCGTTGACAATATTATATGATACTATTATGCTTCGACTTTTTTAAATAGTCATAAGTCATTCATACTTTTCAAAATTTCGTCACTCTCGGTGTGTTTCGTTTTATCAGCTTGCACTTCTTCCGTCAGCCATGCCACGAATTCCGGACCTATGGGCGATGATACAAAATATAGTTTAAACAAGACTGAAGTGTGTTGGGAATAATGTGTTCTTACTTCCTAATGTATTTGCAGTCGTGGTTGTGAGTCCTTTTTGACTCAGATCGTCAAGTACTTCGGGCAACAAATCAGTCACACGGCCCGAAGTCAACATCGAGGAGATTCGTTGTTTTTCTCTTTCATCGCCTTCGTCGAACATTTTAGTATGTTCAGCCTGCAAATAAATTAATATAATATTGTCATATTGGTATTGATATGATAATCAAAGCGTATTGTTATTAGATAAAAAATAACTCATATGTATAAAAATACTCTTTGGGTAGGTAATACTCTTCTAAACTAAGTGTAAGTAAATCTTGTTCTTAATAAAACCTGTATTTATATGTTATATTATATTTAATTTGTAGGAATGTAGAATCGAGTTTATAACAAATAATAATTAAACTCTTATATAGTCCACAGAATAAAAAGTATAATTAAAAATGTCTCTATTCTATATCGATATAAAACAATATTGTATTCTAAATTATATACATTTAAGACTGTAGTTTAAAAATATAATAAAATAGGTAGGTATTCAATAATATTTTAAAACTCTGAATGACTCGTATATACATAGGTACACACATATATATATACCTACGGTATACACATACATTTGAATATATAATAAAGACATATTATTATATGACAATATGAACTGTTTTTTTGCGTGGGTCGCATTCTCGTCGAACACCGTGTCGTAATTAATGATTCAATATTTATTTATTTTTTACTATAGATAGAAACATATCAGAAACTCACGATAACTTGTTTCAGCCTTTCGTCTTGGTACTGCAGTCTTTTCATTTCGATCTCCTCGACTTTGCGCTTCATGCACAGCGCCCTTTGTTGCCGGGCCCTCGTCTCCAGCTCGTCTTCGTAGAGTACTTCTTGCATGGCTGTTCTGAAGGCGTCGGATATTAGAGCCTCAGCTATCGGCGTTACCTCGGTGTCGAAGTCGAATAACTAAAAAAAAAAACAAAAACACGTCGTACGGAAAGCGCGCCGACGGTCATTCCTCGGGTCACATATGGTTGGTTTTTGTTTTTTATTTACACGAACCGCGGTCCGGCGACGGACTTACATCTTTGTCGTCTACTTGGGTAGACGCGTCGGTGCCAGCGGACGTCCCAGTCCCCGGATTCGAGAACATCTCTTGATCGAATTCAGTCTGGGCCCCGAACGTCTGCGATACTGGATAATCGTACAACTGTCGAGTTCAATAAATCATATTAATTATTATTTCCTGGGTTATCATTGCAATCATAATATTATTATATAGATTTGTCAGCTGCGACATTGTGATACGCATATTCTCCACTTTTTACCATGTGTTACGTCCTTCATCGGTCGCGTACATCAAAAACATGGAAGAACGCACAGGAAATCGTGAGGATGCGCAAACGAGATTCAAACACGTCGTATTGTCGTATTGTGACATACCTATCTATATTTTGTCACGGTTATATAGGTATACCTTCTACCTAGTATAGTAGTGGTATACTTTAAGTTTCAACGTGCACGGCAGACATCGGAAAACGTTACATACAACGTTAACGTTACGTTAATACATATTTTATAGAATTATTTTCTGTGTACCAGAACGCATATTTGATATATCAAAACAGAGTGTACCGATATACCTTTTATTATACTACGCAGTACGGTTTTTATGCGAATAAATGTTTATTGATTTCGACGAAATACTATTGATCATATTATCCGTATTATCTACACGGAAAATCTCAAGGTGAATGAAAAGTTAAGCAATCAGTTATTTTTAAGCTTTTTAATTCGTAAGTTCTTTTTAATTCTACAATTAGTATTGTTGATTTATTCTCCATTTATTCATAGTAATGACGTATCGCTCTTTTTAGTTCGTTTGCAAAATAATATTATGCACGTTAAGTTTAGGTAAATCATGTTCGTACACGGTTGCTATATCTATAACTGTGATCAAAATGTACAGTTAATAAAATATTAATTTGTTTAATCACGCCGTACACGATGATTTGAGTGAATAAAAAGTAGGCGTAAAGTAAACAAATTTATTTGTTGATTTAATAATTTGGTAGACACTAACTTGACTAAACGACTGAAGTGCAATAAAAAGGAATACTGCAAGGACGCATTTTTAAACGAAATTGTAGATTATACTTATACGAGTTATACAGAACTTAACGAACTTGATTTAATTTTTTTCAGCAAATAGAACCTTTGGTATAAAAACACAAACATTTAAATGTAATTTTACAATCCTTACTTCTTCTAGATGTACATCGGTTTGGATGTCCACGTTCTGTCGGCCTCTGGGAAGTTTCGGCGCTCCCAGGTGTAATCGCATAGCCCTGGTCTGATAGTCTATGGCTTTTTTCCTGGCCATGGCCCGTCGACGAGCTTCCGCTTCCCGTGCCGCGGGTGACTCTTTACCCATCTGTGGAATAATAATATCATAGACTTCAAAGGCCGTTTGATATTTAATAAATCGTTTTGATAATAATATGTAATGTAGCAATAGCAAAAAGTGAGCTAATGTCAATTCCGCAGCGTTTTCAAAAGCCAAAATATAACGTTATATGTAATAACCAAAATATTAAAAATAAATTATCAACCAAAAACGAAAACGAAAAATCTGTAGCGCATGCGTGTAAGCAAGACGCTCACCTCCGACGACAATTGTTTAGCATAGCCAAAATATGGGTTCCACTTTGGACGCTAAATATTTTTAATAATATTGTATTATAATATGTTTTATCATGTAGAACAAAATCATGTTATATATATAAAAGACATGATGTCCAAAAAAAAAATAACATGTAACACTTACGAACGATTTTTTCGCAAAATTACTGCCTCTGACCACCCGTTTGTCGTGCATGATGTTCGTGTAACCCATTTGTTTGCACATACTGTAAATAATAAAAATAAAAATAAATTAAAACGAAAAAATACATCATTTACACGTCGTTTTGACCCAAATTCAAGTTCTCGAAGAATTGATTGAGCAAATGGGGTGTGCAAGATTGTCGAGAGGACGATCGAATGTTTTATAGTTTGTAAAAAAAAAATGTATGAATATTTAACGACCGGTTCGCGTGCTAGGTTCGTAAGACATAAGTCAACTTGGGTGTTTTTTAACTATTATATTTTCTACGAGAATTAAGAATTTACGGCCCTAAATAAACGTAATAAACTTGCACAACGTTATAACTATGTATACTATGAAATAGAAAAGAATTAAGTTTTTATTTTATATGAACAAGTCAAAATAATAGTTTTCTATACATTTCACAGGTTAGATATTACCAATAAGAATACCAAAAAGACCAAAAATACCAATAAGAATATTATCTATTTGATATTGTTAACGAGTTTTATGCAGAGGCTCTCTACATCGTAAACCGGAGGGACTTGAGCCTTAACGAAAAGAACCCAAACTGGTGAGATGTTTTTTGATAATCGTAGAGATCGTTTTTGAAATCGTTTTGAAGTGGAGGATTTTTCGGTTCTGACAACTAGCCAGTTCCCATCGGTAAAAACTAAATACAAATTTTTATACTCATTGATTTTCCTTAGGAAATACCATCGAATTAAACTTTACACTACCTACTTATTTCGATTTAAATATTTGATGATAAAAATGATAAATTCGGGTATTTATATTTTACTTTTGCGACCGAAATAATCATTTAATATTACGCTTCTTTTACTAATATTATCTTTTGATGTATTAATTATTGATTTTTGATTTTAAAAGGACATCATATATTATTTTAATAGAGCTATGATAGGCATCTACTTAAATCGTATAATTGTATGCATTCACATTATTTTATTTATATTATATTAACAATAGCCGTTACCAAAATAATTACTATAGCGTCCATTATTGATTTTTTACGACGTTAATACAATTAAATACATTTATAAATCGTTATCATAATGCAATCTATTTTATACATTATATTTTTTAGGTATTACCCGCTTTTATACAACTCAGAAGGGTATAAACCTTATATTTTTGGTCACTCCACTCGAGCAAATTTATGTCTAGATATCAATCTTAAATTGTACTACTCGTTATAGTCGTTACAGATAAGTATGCATGTATGCATAGATCGTATAAATTTGCTTCTAAAAATAATTCTAAAAAGGATATTATTCTTAACGGCCAAGGGTCACGGTCATTGGTCACGGTAAAGTTGATTATCCTGTGGTAATGTGGTACCTATATTGTATACACTATAATATACGTATGAATATCAATATTATCTGATTTACAACTAATTGTAGGTACTTTAGAATAATATTACTCACTGTTATGGACACATAAAATCACGTTTTTTTTTATATAATTTGAGGACCACATACATGTTCAAAATTAAAATAATATACTAATTACGAACGACGCATTTACATCCAATCACCCGAGTTTCTCATGTAAATTTAATTATTTTATTCATTTATTTCTATAAATTTCCAGTAAATACATAGGTATTGGTGAACCTAGCTAGTAGCTAATAATTTTACAAAACGCAAAGAATATGATGTATTTATTATAATATGGTTTAAATTATAACTACCAGCAATTAATAATGTTAATAATTCATTTTCTCCGCATCTTAATATCTATATAAGTTAAGTATTGATTTTATACCGATTATTTACAAATACTAGAAAATTGTAATTCTTTGAGTGTGTTGTGGACAGTTAAATAGTTTTAGGATAGAAGTGAAATGTCTCAGACATTTGTAGGGGTAGTGAGTTGGGTCAAGGAGGTCAATATTATAATATGATCGACTCTATAATATAAAACATACATAGTCCACTCAAAACCGTATGGTAATGTACACACACACACGGTGACTTCCAACACATTTTATAGGGTATATGGAGATATATAATTGTTTATTTTACCCACTCATTTACTGATATCTAGGTTTTATAACCTTTTTTATAGTCCATGTTTCAGCAATGCTGAATCGCTTTATTCTACAAACACATATTAATCTATTTCAACTCGTTCATAAATACCTGATAAAACTAATAAGGTGAATTCCTCCAATACATTAACACAAAATCACTATGTTCAATGTTTATCTAATTCGTAACAATAGAACAATACAATATTTACTACACAAACAATCTTGTTTAAAAGGTGTTTAAATCTGCGATTCTTCTCATAATATGTCTTGGTCATAGTAAACACGAGTCTGTCGTTTACAATTTTTTAGTTATTACCACACAGACTCGTGAATGTTATACTTTTAAGCATAATCAAAAAAAAGAAAGAACGTCTGGGACGTGAAATCTATTTTAATGATCTACTTTTTCCACATTGGTAGTAGTCATATCATTTTATTATTTAAATGGGAGCGTATATAATACGTTGACAGCCATCGGCGCAAAGCGTTTTATTTTTTTATCCCCTCAAAATGTAAATGTCTTAAATCCAAGAATACACTATACATGCTACTCCGAGTCACTTAAGTCACCTACTCCTAAAACGTTTTTCCTGAAGCAACCGTCCTCGATGCGGAACGAGCGTCATTCGAAGAAACTATGTAGATACCATAAATATGCAGCTACAACGACATAGATACTGCCGGTTAGGGAAATCCTTGGGACAACAAAACACGCGTGGACGAGACGGTCCAAGTTTTGAGTTAGACGTTATTGAAAATTTTGATTCACTCGTGGGCTGCAGAAAGGGCTTATGCTGCTGTCCTTCAGCGGAAAGCATTAAGTAAACATGTATAATATCATACGTCTAGGTTAGTGTATGGGACTTTAATTTTTCGTGGTCTTCAACAATACTTGGGTAGGATCTTTTTACGTCGTCTACTGCTCGTGACTAGTGGCGAAAACTGAATATTATTTGTTATATAGGTCCTCGGAATCTTGACATCTCGTATGAAGTATAGGTATGTCCCAACACCCGTATCGTCCAGAGTACTACCTTGGCCAATCTATGTACAATTAAATGTGGTGTTTTCAACTGTAGTTCATAACTTTATATAAGTAAATTCTAATTGAAAGGTATACGAATTGAATGGGACAAATTGTTTGAGCAATTTAATTTTTGAAATAGCCAAATTTTTGTATACCACTGGTAATTTAAGAACAATATATTAAAATTGGGCGAGTATTTAACATGCATTTGAGTATAGCAGTTGAGGTATTTGTATTTATACGTAATTACAGTTAGGAGGTATCATGTACCTAATCAAAAAACCGATCGAGTTCGTCTAAAATATCAACCTCATCGACTGTCACTACGAGGATTTTCTCGTGAGATTCGGAGAAAATAAAATAAACTGACATCTCACTCAGTCCTCGGTACCTACATATTTTAGCGACGAAGGTATTATTCTCGCGAAAAGCCGTCAGGTTGACACTCGGGAAACACAGCAGCCGCCGGTGACATACCAATATTATATATTATACTCACTCGGGTTGCCCGTCGGTTTTCCGACAAGAGTAAGAGGTGGTGCACCGTTGGTGTTGCCTGTCGTGGAGTACACGCGGCTTGCTCGAGTACGAGTAGTATCGGTCCGAGTCGACGCCGGACTGAGACGAACGGTCGTCGAGCCCGAGCAGGGCGGCCAGGTCGGGCGGCGGGTCCAGGAAAATGCCCGTTTTCACTGTGGTCACGAAAACAGGTTTCCTGGACGAGTGCTGCTTGACGCCGTCGCCGGGATGCCGCTGCTGCAGCTTTTTGAGCTTCGAGTCCAGGGACCGGGCAAAGTGTCGCGGGTCCCGGTCGCGTGGGTGCTGATCCCGGTGATCCCGGTGATCTTGGCGATCTTTGCGATCTCGATGACCATGGTGATCGCGGTGACGGCGACGGCTGCGGTGGTCGTGTTGATGGTGGTCGTCGTCGTCGTCGATGACAGTGAACGACGACGAAGTCGTGCGATCGTCTCCGCCGCTGCCGTCGGTACCGCTGTTGTTCTCCCGCATGCCGACTTGTTTTTCCGGTCCGTCAACAGCCGGAAACAACGTCGGGACAGACTTCTGGCAGTGAACCGCCGCGGCGACGACGACGGCGACGACGACGACACCTGACAAACGCGACGGCCATCGGGTCGAACGGCACTGAATTCACTGGCCGGCGACTACGACGACGACGACTCGTGTGCGTGCGAACGTGTGCGTGTAAGCGAGTCCAAGTGTGTGTGCGTGTGTACGACTTGGCGTGGGTGTGCGACGTGGGCAAGGGGTTTCGTGCTCGAGGGCTACGCACGCGCTCGCCGCTGACCACACGCTCGCGCGGGTCAGTGGCTCGGCGCCGCGTCCGCGATGAAATAATAATAATAAAATATATTTTTTTGTAAAAACGACCGCTGTTCAGCTGTACAATGACCGACTGCGGTATTTGACGAGACCTATATTATATAGGGTGACAGCGAAACCGCTAGACCGGTGGTCCCATCAGACGTTGGTGGCGAAATAGTTACGACAAGGAAATGAAAACTGTTAGAAACGATATCGTTATTTTTGCTGCATCTGAATCGTACATTATACTAGCTTCTGTTATGTTAAACTAGTAAAGCTATTGTATTCGAAAGAATATCGTATTATTATTATTATTATTATTAAGCTAGTCTTATTTACGATATTTTCTTGTCACCGGTGATTATAGTTTTTAAATATTTTGTTTATGACCATGACAGACAGAAAAGTGTAAAAAAAAGTGTGAAAATTTCGACCACATTAAAGCCACCGACGTTTGACATTCGCCTTGTTCTGATTAAAGTTTGCGTGCATATAATGTTTTATGATACCTACTTATCGAAATGTCAACTTTGAGCATTACTTTTATTTCTGAGTACAATACATTATGACAAGTTTTTTACGGTTCACATATAATCAGTCCATTACATTATTCTCATACTTTCAACAAATTCGTTCATAATTCAATCAAATAGATCATATTTTACATATTACTGCTTGTAAAATATTATGAGTGTAATTGACTCACTTCGCGTTTGTTATTATTATGAATATAGGAGATTTACTGATGACGGTTCTGTCAGTTTATATGTTTAACGGTTTCTCGGGATATTCAGTCGTAACTTTGTTGTATAATATTCAGATAAAAAAAAAAAGTGGGTAAGTGGATGTCGCTCTGATGTACGGTAGGTTAAAAGTGGGTCATTGTATAATGGATTGTATTAAACTTGAATTCATTGATATTCTATTATTGTATAAGAAAAACGTTTCTGAGCGGAGACGGTTTGTGAGTCTGGATATTTTATATTGTCATTAATTATTATATCATGTAAGTTGAATTAATATTATAATATTATTTTTTATTTGTTTCTATGGTAATAAACAAAGCGTTGGTAATTAAAATCCAATTTTTAGCGGTTTTTCGTAATTTTTCGGTGGTTTTTACCGTGGCATTAAATAACTATTGATAAAATCGAAAAACGACCTCTCTAAAGTACCATCTTGATCCAATTTGTACTATATGTAGGTACTATATACAGAAATCGAAACACTCTTTCTGGTAGAAATTGTGTATACAGACTATAAAAAATAAATAAATAAATAAACACCATTGTAAAACCACTAGTTTCCTCTCTCCGCTCAGAATCTAAAAATGTTGAAACAAAAATAAAACATTCAAAAATCGTGAAGCATTTAAAATCATTCCACGTTTTGAACGCTTGATCGAGAATGACGTGGGTGAAAATAGAAAATAGATTTATCTCAGAGTTTAAATCGTACTTACGATAGACCAACACAAGAGGAAAGGTCAAGAAAGTTAAGATAATATTCCTATAGTACACCTACCTAATTATATATAATATACAGCATAAAGCGTAACTACGCGATATGGATTGTCGTATTATAATAAATTGACCGCACGTGTTTACGTCTATTGCGCACACCCTGTATGCCTGTGTGGTCGTTCGTGCAGTTTTCGCTCACCTCTCTATATGTATAATATATGTATTATTCGTGTACAATATTATATATATATATATGGTGTGTGATATAAATATAGGTATGGCTAAAGCCTAAATCTATATAATGTACGATGACCTCGGCGGGACACGTTCCGTTGGCGATCGAAAATTCAGGATTTTAATGAATCGCCGCCGAACACGGCAGCCGTTTGCACGGCACCGGTACCGGTGGTGGAGGTGGAGTTTTCGGCGGCGGTGGATGTGGTGGTCAGACAAATTCACAATATAGGTGCGTGCGCCTCTCGGGCCCCCATATATACATGTACACTTAGACACAACACACTTGAATAATTTATCGACGACCGATTTAAAACTTCCATCGTCCACGGCGATCACGATCGTCATCTTTGTCACGCACACACGGGGCCGGTGAAACGGGTACAGCATGGGATGTGAGTTATTCACAGAGGGGTTGAACCGCTGACAAGTTTAAAACCAAATCTCGCTCGACCATAGTGACCGTTTCTAAGAGAGGGGGTAGGTGCTCGTAGTGTTGCAGTAACATTTTATGAGGGTTCTCTTTACCATTCCACTTCACTCATTTTAAAATTTAAACCTTTTAAATGCGTACAAAACAAAAACGATAAAAAAACGTATTAAAAATATGTTGATCGATTTTGAAATGATGAGTGTCTAGCTCTAAAGTTTAAATGGATCACTCGGTATATAATATATTATAAAGTTTACTATTAAGTCGATAGCGGACACACGAACCCTGACCGTCTACCGCGGCCAGACGTTGACCCGACGGCGAGGACGACGACTCAGTCGAATAAATTTATACCCCCGGGCCCAAAGAATAAGGTCGGTTAGTTTCCGGCACCGCGAACGTTTACATAATTAATGCTGCAACAATAATTAGGGGTATTTTTCGTTTAAATATTAACGAACTCCTATATATACGAGTATATATAATATATATATACTTACACCTGGAGTAGGTACATAATTTATAACATAGGCGCACCGACATCCAACCGACCTGCAGTTGTACAACTAATAATTTATTATATAACAGGTATTTTATATAAATTGTGTGTGTCTATTTTTATTTGACTACGAATTTATACATTTTTGGCGCGACAACTCTAGCAAATTTATTGTCGTTGATCACTATAACCGTTGCTCGAATATCGTATGGAGTTATGGTTATTTTTCGGAAAAACCGGCCAGAATTATATATTCGGTATTGATTTAATCCACAGACCTATTGATTAGTAATATTATAGGCCTATGTTTTAATCACACAAATTCAAGAAGACTTATGGGATTTCAAGCGCACCTCCCCAGTCGGCAGTCATTACCGACGATCGGTCAAATTCGTCCGAGTGGGTATCGTCATCGACTTGTCAAGTACTCTTAAGCGGTCAAGCGAGTACTTGATATCTTTACCACCGTATTGTTGTTGAATATATTGTATTTATATATAGGTATATAATATCGTAATTTATTTTTAGAAACTCAGACAAACGCGTTGACTTCAGATAACTTAACTACTATTATGTCGGCATGGTCCCGTGAAAAAAACCTATTCGCGAAAATTAAATTTTTCTTTACAAAAAATCCGTCGTATACGTAACGTAGGTATAATACGTACTTAATTTTGTTTGTATTAAGCAATTCATGAAAAGTTTTCTATTTTCCAATTTGACCGTAACATACACACACATAATATTATGACGTATTACGCTCAAACGAAAGAAAATCGATATGTTTTCATATTATAATGGATTAAACAATTATTTGACAAAAATATTACTACCTACGTCTATAGGTAGGAATGCAGGATAGTACTTATGTAGGTACGTGCAAGGTGGTAAACACGACGTAATCATTATTTACCGTTTTCGACCAACTCAAACGGGTCGATAAAAATATTTATTTAAACCCCTAAAGAGGTATATTGACAGGCCATAATTTGATACATTTACCACCGGGTAGGTATACTACTTCGCGATATTTATTTATTTCTCATTTATTCTACAAATAGACAATATGAGCCCCACTGATCAAGATCGTGGGGTGGGGGAGGGGTGCATAAATATGTTATAATACATTTATGTTGTATTACTGGTCAAATTCATTTTTTATGCAAATACGAAACTTAATTAATTCCCATGGTTATAAATACAATACTTCAATCATGGTATGTACCGAAATCATTCTGACGCTCAATGAATAGCTTTTCGTGAGTTTATAACTTTTTAATTTTCTTTAGATCATGGGGTATTGTGCGACCATTTCGAGCGTGTCAAGCTTTAATGGGTTTCCTACTTACGATGGCAGAAATCAAGAGTACTTACCTACCTGTATGTATTTTTTCGAGCGGTTATAAAGTGCACAACGACACGAACAGACCTTGACCGGAGTAAAAATTGTTTGGCTTATTAAACGAGTGGGTAAGTAAAACAATATTATAATAAAGAAATTTAACGATGTCTAATATATAATATTATAATAATATGACATTTTATTACTGAAAACCTGCAAATTAATTGCAGCATATCTGAACTGTGTTCACAATATTATGATATAACTATATTAGTCACGAAACGAAATTCGTGTGGAATATAGTTTCGAAGTAGGAAGCTAAGTAATCATACCTAACTACTAATGAAATATAATTCTTGCGTGAAATGTTCGTTAAACCATTATAATACGTCGACTATAATTTATTGTTATAAATTGATATTATAAGTAGCTAAACTGTTCAGTTGTAGGAGTGAACATTAATATTTTTTTGTTTTTTTAATCAAGTACGTATAAGTATAATAATATAAAATAATTTATAATTTGTATTTAGGTTAGGAGCAGATACTCTCAAAAAACAGTAGCATATAGTATAAATATTTATTTATTTTTATAAGATGTATACTTTTTATTTTAATTTTTTTTAATTGGATAACCCGTGGCAACATAGGCCATTGGGTGTGGGGAGGGAATTGTGGGGTTTTAGGTTGGGTAGTTTGGTACACGTGTGTGTTG